AGCCACTCAGTTACCAGTCAGGCAGAAAGCAAAAGGTTGTTACCTGCTGTCCTCACTGATCTGGCTATTTCAACTCCCAGTTCCTGTGCGGCTTTTGGGTAATCATTGTCCAGGTCTGGCAAGGTTAGCAGTAACTCTAACATTCTCTTCAACTTTGGAGAGATTCTGTCATGATTCCCTCCACAAAGTTAGATTTCAGTGTGCTAGTGTCCCTGGTTCCCTCCACTATGAACACTAGATGTCAAGAAATATTATTGTTAGCAATAGCCTCATCTTGCCTGAGCATTCCCTTCATGTCTTGCTCATCTTTGGCCTTACAGGCTTCCTGCTCTAATGTGAAAAAAGACTTGCTGTTGGTTTTGATTGCTTTGTGAAGTGCCCCTCAAACTTTTTTAGCCTCTGTTCTGCACTTTCACATTTAATCTGCCAGAATTTACGATCCTTTCCCCGTTTGCATACAGACATCATGTTTTCAAAGAATACCTTCTTTCTTTTTGTAACACCTCTGACCCCACTTGCACAGCCTCACAACCTTCCCTTCTTCCTCGCAGTTCTGCCGTGCCATCTTTCTTTGCGAGGACAGGGCGGATAAGACCCTTCTCCCACCCTCCTGCATTTGGTGCACAGGTGATCTCACTTCTGCCCTGCAGAAGCACGACAGAACTGACTGGAAGTTTCAAACACCAACGTTTCTGATTTAGGGTGAACCTAAACGAGCAGAAAAAATAAATGCTGTGATGTTCCTGATAATCTACACAACTTAGATAGGATTTAAATTTCAGGATAATTCAGAAAAAAGAGTACTTTATAAGAACTGGCTTCATAAAATGTGCAGACCTGAAAAGGTTGCAAGTGATGCAAAGAAAAGATACTTAAGATCACAGATCTGTCTAACTTCTCACTGTGCCGCTCACGTTCTTTAAAGTAACAGTACTGTGTATGCAGCTATAAGCAAAAGTAGAGCTCGAAGAGGAAGACCAAATTAAAATTTCTAATATTCGAATACCAAAAGAAATAATAAACTCCCAAATGCGCTGGGCCTCATTTGCACATCCCACGTATCATTGTGCCCCGGGCCACCTTCAGCAGCGGCAGGACAGACACACGGACGGCCCAAATCATGCTCAGAAAGCACATGATGGGGGACTCTCCCATGTCTGAGTGCTGAGCTACGGCGTCAAGCTGCCCTCTGCAGCTCAATTATCCCATGATTCTGCAATATGGGGACTGAACACAGTGACAGAGGTTATGGAGCATAATCCTCACCGGCTAGAAGAGTTATTCAGATAAACTTCTGTATTCAGTGAGAGGGAGTAGAGGGCCTTCTCAGAACCTCTCTCATTCTTTGATCAAACAGAAGAAATAAAGGTAGGGAGGAGACATTTAGAAAGAGATTCAAATATTTATCCGTTTCAAAAACCCCCACCTTTTAGAAGAATCAGACAGGTATATTTGGAAGGCAAATATTTAAGCCATATCTTTAGATAGAAAATTAATCACAGAATCACAGAATGTTGGGGGCTGGAAGGGACCTCTGGAGATCACCCAGTCCAGCCCTCCTGCCAGAGCAGGATTACCCAGAGCAGGTCACACAGGAACGCGTCCAGGCGGGGTTTGAATGTCTCCAAACAAGAAGACTCCACAACCTCCCAGGGCAGCCTGTGCTAGTGCTCTGTTACCCTCACAGGGAAAACGTTTTTCCTAATATGTTTGTGGAACCTCCTATGTTCCAGCTTGTACCTATTTTATGAAATATGAGGGCAAACCTTCATGATACAGTCATACCTGAACCTTCTACTAAACTGAATTAAGTGTCTTACTGCAAAGTAATTTTCCATCATCTCGTTTATTCTTCTAAACTTCAAGCCAGCACTCTCTATGTGTCTATGTAAGAAGTACAGACATCTAAAGACGGCATAGGAAGGGCTTTGTCCTCACAAGCAAAAACATTTGAATATAAGACTTTTCCAAGTGTAGTTTTGTAGTATCACTTAATCTCACAAAGCAATAACATCATCACAATATACTTCTTGCTGGTTGTAAATCCACAAACCTTCAATGTTACATAAAGATATTAACCTTGAAATTTTGCTTGCTTTGCCAGTCTATTTTATTCTTTCACCTAACTTCAAATTGCTGAAGCATTCAACACTTTCTTAAAAATATTAAAGAATGTTACTGTGTAAGAGTCTCTCTGAGAGGTGGAACATTCTTGCCAAAACAGCTTGTCCCGCACTGAAGTCTGGCATGAAGTTTGACAGCTTGGAGAACAGCAGGCCGAGGGGAGACCTTATCACTCTCTACAACTCCCTGAAAGGCAGCTGTAGTGAGATGAGTGTTGGCCTCTTCTGCCTAGTGAATAGCAACAGGACAAGAGGGAACGGGTTCAAGTTGCACCAGGAGAAGCTTAGACTGGATATGAGGAAAAACGTCTTCACCAAAAGGGTTGTGAAGCACTGGAATGGGTTGACGAGGGGTGTGGTTGAGTCACCATTCCGGGACGTGTTTAAAAAACAGCTGGATGTGGCACTTCAAGAGATGATTTAGTGTTAGGGTGGGGTAGGGCTGTAGGTTAGACCTGATAATCTTAAGGTCCTTTCCAGTCTTTATGATTCTATGATTCTATTAATTCACGAAGCAAACATTTAAAAACCAGTAGTGTCTAGCTTTGAGGAATAACACACTTAAAAATAAAAAATTGCTGGTTTGTGAATTCTCTGAGCCATTACAAAACTCTCTTCTGGTTATATATATATCTATCTATCTAGCTGACATACTGATAAAAGCTTTTACTTAGGCTACATGGTTTGTAATAATTTTAAATGCTCCTTCAGATTTCTTCCAGAGTGTGCAGTGGTGGTGTGTGACATTATATTCCTCATATCCAGGATTCCTGGCATTTAGTACAGGACTGACATGACCTACTGCACCATATCATAAAATCACAGAACAGCTTGGGCTGGACCCTAAAGCCCACCCAGCTGCAGCCCCGTGCCCTGGGCAGGGACCCCTCCCAGCAGAGCAGGTTGCTCCAAGCCTCGTCCAACCTGGCCTTGGGCACTGCCAGGGAGGGGCTGCCACAGCTGCTCTGGGCAACCTCTGCCAGGGTCTAACCTCCCTCATCATATAAAATTTCTTCTTCATATCTAACATAAATCTATCCTCTTTCAGTTTGAAACCGCTGCTACTATCACCACTGCCCTCTCTCAATCTTTCTTGTATCTACTAACTTTTTTTAGTAGTAATAACAGATTTGGTGACCCTGTAAAGAGCAAACCAGTTCCTACTTGTTTCAAAATGCATTTGGAAGAAGGGAAGAAATATTATTAAGAAAGATCATGCACTGAAGAGTGTGTTTGCATAATTACGACAGTTTTGAGGAAAAAAGCCTCAGCCAAAGGAAGTCCCATGACTTTTCCTTCCACGTAGTCTCCAGCGCAGAGAATACACTGTATCTGGATGACCTTTAACACACCCCAGTATCCTTACAGTACTTGAATATTTTTAGTATTTCCACACATGGTTTTGTGCCAAAGATACTCATTCATTTATCCAAGACAACTCTGAAAGCTCAGTGAAGTCTAATAGCAGAATGGATGTGTTTTATGGAGCCTCCATCTCCCCGTGAAATAAAGTGAAGCCCCTCTCCCATTGTGCTGCTCAATCTGAAGCAAGCAGCAAGGATCTGGTGGGAAATACACTGAACATCCAATCTTTTAGCGAGACAAAAGGCACCCTTCCATATCCCCACTTGACAGAATTGCTTGTACTACGAATACAGGTGCATTAGGGTACAAGGTAAAGCTTGTTAACACCTCTGAAGTGTTATTTTGTTGGGTACAGAATGCAGATTATTATTTGCACCAAGCACTTTTTTCTTTCCAGTGATTGTGACATAGAGGCAGCACAACACACTATGAACGAAGAATCAGAGTGACAGGCATCTGGATCAGAGTGTCCATCCAGGCTGTATGAGCCAGTTTAAGTAGAAAAAGTTGGATTTTGAATGACAGCAGCGAAGATAGAAAACATCAGTATGGTTCTCGTGAGATTAAGACAAAACAACAGAAGTTTCCAGATATTACATATTTCTATTAATATTTTTCTCCTAATAGTAGACTACACAATTTCACAACTGTTATGCTACTTCAAAAATTCTCTTGCACTATATGTGCAATGGGCCTGTCCAGAGGGATACGGAAACAGAGAGATAAAACTTTTTCCCTGTGCGGGTGCTGGAGCCCTGGCCCAGGCTGCCCAGAGAGGGTGTGGAGTCTCCTGCTCTGGAGACTTTCAAACCCTGCCTGGATGTGTTCCTGTGTGACTGCTCTGGGTGACCCTGCTCTGGTTGGAATAGATGATCTCTAAAGGTCCCTTCCAACTCCCAACATTCTGTGATTCTATGATTTATTTCATAATTATTTTTCTGGTTGTAACCTGCTTCCTTATAAGCTAGTGGCAGACACTTGCATAAGAAATAAAGCATACCACTTCCATGTTGTTTGCAGAGTACCTTTGCAAAATCGAACACAGCACAGTTATAAATGCTTGTCAAATCCATTTAGACATTAGTTTAAACTTCTAACAATACTTTCATTGCTGAATATGTGGTCATAGTAAAAAAACCACAGATCTGGAACTCTCAGAGCATCAGAGTTATTCTTTACCTCTTGCTGGCATGCTTGCGGCACAGCACGTCTCAACCTTCCCACGTCTTCCATTTAACAGAAATGAGGACATTTTTGTGCACTCTAACTAAACTGCCCAAAACTAAACTAAACACTGAGTGTTTATAACAGTTCAGTTTGTTTTCTTTAAAACATTTTTCATGAAATATATCATACTTCTAGGTAAGGACTAACTAGAATCTTTTTATACAAGAATACAAATACACAATACAAAAAATTAAAGAAAGAATGAAAAGACAATGATTGTACATTCAATCTTTGGGTTACAAAAACCCAGTAACGACTGAGATCTTTACCACAGGCTGTACTCACATCAGCATAATGACCTTTCATATGACAGCGATTGCAGTGTTTATTCCAATAGGCTCTCTCCAGACATTCCCTGAAATAGTGGCCAGGCAAACAGCAGTTCAGGCAAAAACGTGCTGGGCAATTGTTTTGTAGATGACCTCTTTCTGAGCACAGGCAGCAAGGTGGAACTTTCTACAGAGAAATAAAAAAAAATTACATTAAGTGAGAAGGTTTCAAAAGATGAAAGTAAAGAAAAGAAAAAATCAAAAGAGGGAACGAAGAAGAAAACAAATCAAATTAATGTGTACGGCTTACTAGGAGTGCCAGAGATCTTAAGTTTCATCAAGAAATCAAAATGAAGAAAGACTGTGAACAGAGTAAAACTCGAAGTTGTAACTGCACAGATTCCGTGCACTTCCTTGATTTCAACACTGGATCAGAAGCACTTGTTCAGTGCCCACGGCCCATGTTATCTGCTCAGTGAATACAGAAAAATTAACCATCCAATGGGAAAGTGCATTGGACTCAGTGCAGAAGTGTTGGGCACTTTGTATGAATACTCTTTTTTTTGTTACATTTCTTAAATGCTGAAAAACGTCACTGTATTGTAGGAACATGGCATACAGTTTGTAACACAAGACACTGGGCTGGCTTGTAAATGCAGTCTGTGCCGTTTTACTGCTCGGCAGGAGGGGGATTTTCCAAAGTAGATGCTCCCCAGGGACTGGCTGGGCATCGGTCTGTGGTGAGCAACTGCTTTGGCATCACTTGGGTTTTTTCTTCACTCACTACACTGTCTTTTTCTTTACGTGCGAGCTTCCCTTGCTCCTGCCCTGTCAATCCTCCCTCCTGCACTGCAGGGGCTGGTCGGGGGCTCGGCTGCCAGAAGGGTCAGACCCCCAGCCACTCGGCCACGTGCTGCGTGACTCACGCAATTATGCACGTGGAGTGACAAACACCGAAAATTACTCTGAGGCTACGCCGGCATGTCTTTAAAGCCAGTTTTCTCAGTGAGTGAGTGTTACCTCCACCTCAAGGTGTTGCGTTTCAGCGGGGGGGCAGGGGGATGCAGTCAGTGGAAGCCCCAGTATGGGGTGATGGAGTGAGGTGTTCATGGGCTCTGTGGGGGATAAGCAAACCCACTTTCGCACAACTGCCCCCACTGCTTCACAGTACTTTAAACCTCTAGCCCCTGTACAAACTTTCTGAGTATTTGGCATCTATCTGAGCTGCTTAAAGTTATTTCCAACTTTATCCTGTCTATATTTTTTAATATTATTCATATCATGGCTCATTATATAGATGCCTGCCTTCCTTCAATTTACTAAAGGTGATTTTTTGGCTTCCTTAGGTTCTACTTGTTGAAAATAGACTTGAGAAACGTTTTACATCTTAAAACTGTTTTTACGATGTGGAAAAACAGATGTTTCTATATTGTACCTGACTGTCTTTTTGCTCAATTTTCAACTTAGACATTTTTTCCTTTATCAAACCAATAAAAGCAGTGACCTCCACAAAATAGATGGCTAATTTTCTACAGTAAACTGATCTTGTGCAAGCTAGCCTTCAACACAGAGCAAGCTTTCAACGAAATAATAAACCCCTGAAGCAGTGCTTTTAATAGCAAATATGAAAGAGTATCATAAAAAAACAGCTGCATCTAAAAAGTAATTTAAGTGTTGCATTTACCTTTGGAGTAGGACAGTTCTTGGACAAATGACCCGTTCTACCACAATTTCTACAGGTAACATTTTTATCAGCTGTGTAGTACCGCATACTGGAATGCCTCACACTTGCATAGTTGGAGATCTGTGCCTGGTGGGACAGGAAGAGAGAAATGTATTTATCATTTGAGATTCTGTGGTTTAGCATTCATTAGAAATGGAAATTTGTAAAGGTCACTCCTGGTAGTGTTCACTTAGAAATTTAACTTTTTACAAGTACAATTTACACATCCAGGTTTGAACTGGGTAATTCTGTTACAGAGTAATCTGCATAGTCTAGAAGAAAAATATTGCCTTCTTCAAACTTCCACCTTGGGACATTCCTTTTTGCTGTTTAAATTGCAGTTATGAAGTTTTGCTTTCCTTGATTAGACAAGACACTTTTACTCACTGCATTATTTCATGATGAAGTGGAATTTTTCCCAGAATGCAAACATAACTAACACTAATTGCAAATGCAACTTGCATGTTCCCCTGCACACATTACGGGAAACTTCTTGGACAAAGTACAATGCTATACAAGTCTAGACCAAATCTGCAATTTGCAATTGTAAAGAAAGATTTAAAAAGGAAAAAGAAGAAAAAAAGACAAGCTGGAAACCACTCTCTCTCTCTCTCCCAGTGACCTCACACATACTTTCTGTGTAGACAGACAGAATTGAAAATCCTGTCTTCGACCTTTTTTGCTTAGCAAACATCACAATTTTTAAAAACAGAAATAAAATTTTGGACAAGTGAATGGGACAGGTACAAAATGAGGAGTTCTCTTAAGAGAAAGGATTTGTTAATGTCACCTGATCACATAAGCTTTACTGAACCTTAGAAAGAGAAACTGAAGGAGTTGGACCTTGTGGCTGAAGCCTTCTCCTCCTGGACGCTGTGCTACCTTGCGAAAGTGCTTCAGGCGGCAGCCCAACCTGACCAGCACCCGAGCTGCCACCTCTGGGAGCGCAGGAGGGCTAACCAAACACGGACAGCGCGTAGCGCTGCCGGTGGGAACGGGATTCAGCTGCCACAAAGCAATTACTAGTCCCCGAAGAGCCTGGGGAGGAAGAGCCGAGCTCCTTCTCGCGGGGTCTGCAGAGGGACGCCGATTCCCGGCATCCTCTTCCCGCTCTGCCCCCAAGTCTGCCCCAGCAAGTGAACCTCTTCCGACTGCACCACAGCTCAGGTTTCGCTTGCCTTTGGGAGGATGCTGCTAAGGATTACAAACAAAAACTGCAGATGAATTTTTCAATCCTGTTCATCCCGCTCTGCTTGTTAATAAACACAAAAATAAAGAATTATGGAACAATTCATTTGTCTGTGTTACCTCTAAGTCTTTATTACAGATGGACCAGTCCACATCAACTTCTCCTGGAAAAGAGAAACAAAATTAGTTATATTTAATTTATATGAATATTTTTCTGTGACATATTCAACATTATGACTAGCACACTTACTGAAACTGTTAACAGACTTTGAGTATACCAAAGTGGAGAAATTAGTTCTCTTCAGTAAATGAAAACCATCAACCTGCTTGGCACCAGACCTGATTCACCCTAAAATCAACACATGTCCAGCTATCGGGTGGGCTTTATTTGACACCACCCTCTTGTCCTGCCCCGCACTGTATAAATTCGAGCAAGGATTTAATTTCCTCAGTGGCAGGGACTCCCAAGCTTCCAATTCCAGCCATTTGGACTGTTTCTGCCTGCAGGCACACGGATGCCCAGCTCCAGTCCAGAGGTTGCCAGAGTGGGAGCATGTGGAACAAGAGGTTAATCCACAGCATAAAACATACTTCCCTTCCTTGTGAATTCGCAATTCCTGTGACTTCAGCACCGCTTTCTGACTGCTGCATCCCCAAACGACTTTATGCATAACCACAGCAACTCAGACTGTAAACTAAGTAACTCTATTTCACAACAGGGTTTAGTAATGTGCAATAAATCAGGGCGACACACTAAATTACCAGCTGTCACGCCATAATCTTCTCACACACAGCCCTCAGACTGGCAGGAGGAAAAAGAAAAAATCAAAAAGGAAGTAAAAGGCGCTAAGTTAAAGGAGCAGGGATGCAGTTACAGCTGTTTAAAAATTCTGCATGTCAACATTGTTTACTCCTCTCACTGTGCAAAGACAGCTGTACCACTGCAGCACCTTTTTCATCATTAAGGGAGGATTCATGTCAGTGGAGGTGTTCACCTTACCTATACTTCTATAGTAACCACCATTTGGGCACACATTAATCCTATGTTTTTGCAGACTTTTTAATGTAAATTGTCCCATCCTGTTCCCATAATTCAAATCTGAAGCATCTACATGCATTATTAGCACAAATTACAAGATTTACAAACTGTAAAAACAATCCAGTAAAAATTTATCCAACTGATTTTGATGGTACTATTCACTTCCAGTAAAAGGAAAATGACTAGAAATTAAAATTACACCATCTCTGTCACGTCTAACCCTTCTTTACTGAAAAAGTCAATAATTTCAGCTGAAGTGTGTAATGCAATATCTGGATACAAGGTACGTCACTCAGATGTGCAGCGGGTGCTCTAGAGCGTAATACCTGCTTGCTGCTGCTCTTCATCCAGAAGTTGAGGCAATCCTACCCACTCTAACCTGGCAAGCGCTCTGAAATGTTCCTGTTTTCGACACCCACTAATGCCAACAACACTAACAACTACCGCTGAGGCATTAAAAATTAATTAAGTGGCCCATTTGGCAAAGTGGCGTTGAACGACATGTCGTACCTCAAGCCACAGTGCGCGGAAGGGGGTCCTGCACCAGCGACCGGCCAGGGTTGGGCTGGGGGCCAGGGGGGTCCCACGCCCCCAGACTGGACCCGTGGGCAGATGGATGGCGCCGCCTTGGCTCTCTGTAGTGGCAGCGAGTCCTGGGTACCCCCAGGGCAATAACGGGCCTTTTGGTACCTAGTCATTAAAAGTAAGGAAATGCACTGACATATCTGAGTGCATTATTTATTACTTGGGAGCCTGTTAAGTTAATTGATTCATAAAAAAAAAGATATTTGTAATTCAAAACTCTGCCCAGGCAATCACTATGGTGAGTGCCGTGTTGTGCAGAAACGCGCAGGCAGAATGGTTGACAGGTTACAGATCAGAATTACCAGTGAACTAACTCCTGTTAATCATCAGGCATGTCCTTCCCGAGGACAAACCAACTAAGTTTCTCTTCTTTACTGTCAAAATCCCCTGCTGCACAGGGGAAAACCATCATACAATGATTCAGATATTCCTAATGCTAGAAACCAAAACTGCTCAGATCAGAAAATAAATACAAGAGCTTTAATGCTGAATGAAATATTACAGCAAAATCTCTCTTTACTAAGTCAGTTTGGTGACTTAAAAGTTAAGTCTAATGCACAACAGATTGCATGAGGCTCGGTTTTTACAATAAATTCTTCAGACTGAAATGTGTAGGACGAGTTACGCTTCTGCACCCAACTTGAAATCTGGCTTTAGAGACACAGAAAAACCAGCAACAATTTTTCTTCTTGACCACGGCGTTTTTTTCAGGCACTAAATCACAAAGTAAATCACAAAACTGTGCTCAAGTTGATGAATACCCACTGACCTAGTTTGCTGACTGGGACGACTTAACTTGTCCAAGAGGCATCGTCAGTCCCTGCGTGAGTGTGGGTCCCCCCGTGCCGGTTTCCTGCCACCCCATGGCCATGTGGCCAGGCCGCAGCCTCCTGCTCCCCACACTCCCCCTGCTCTGCAGCACCGATCATCTTTGTTTGCATCCCGTGACACTCCGAGTCACACAGGCGACAGGCCTGGGACCTGGGACAGCGGGTTTGGAGGAGCAGTGGGGCCCATCACGCCTTGGGGCGCTCACCCACCCCACAACCCCAGCGCACGGCCTCGGAGCCCTCCGGGGACAGAGGGGGCAATTTTGCTCAAAGCATAGACATAATACACGTTTGCTAAGCACTGAAAGTTTCCGGATTTGGCAAAGGCTGGTACAACGACAGCTGCCACCGGACGTTTTCCAAGGCCAAGGCAGCATGATGTTAAAGTGTTTCGTCCTCTCCTCAGATGGACGCGCGCAGAGGGTGCACTTCTGCCTGGAGGAAGAGGGCTATGAGTAATTTATTTTTACTCTTAAGAAAGCAGCAGTTTAAAAACTGCTCAAGAAATCTCTGTCAAGACTTTCCTCTTCTTCTGTCGAGAATTTACACACACAAAACTTGCGTTACGTAAGGGGCCTGTCAGTTTTCACAGCATAATAATAAAAATAATATCCTCCCGGAACATCTTCAACAGATTCCTGCTTCTGATCTTTCTCATTTTCATTTGTTAAAAGCAAGCTCCTTTTAAAGATTGTATTAATTTCTGGTTTAAAGCTAAAAATATACAACTGACCTTGTCTATAAACTTCTTTCTTTTATATTTCGAAAAAAATAGTTTTGTCAAATTGCAGAAGAGGGAGAAAGAGAAGGGAAAGAAGAGGATGCAAAATATATACCATTTAGATGAAAATGGAAGCTCTGGGCTTCTTCCTTTAAAGAGTATTACACTTTGGCTGCCCTGTGCCCCTATACAATAGGATGAATGGTAAGCAACAGCTTTGCTTTTATTTAAAGAAAATTTTTGAAAGATCATTGAGATTCACATGTAACCCTCCACCAGCATGAAAATGTAAATTTCCGAGCAGTGCTCATGGTGAAGCCAGATTTAGGACCACTGTTCAATGTGCATTCAAGCCTTCCCTCTTTCATTCCAGAAAGGGAGAGGAGGGGAGGAGGGAGAACGAGGACCGGCAGTCAAAACCTGAAATTGCCTGGAGGAACAATCCATTTCCACAGAACAAAAACCTGAATGAGAATAAACAATAAACTGTTCAGAAGATTTCCTTATCTGCCGAACCACCGATGATCCCCGTGGCCAAGCAGGCTGCCCCAGCGAGGCAGGGCGCAGCTGGGCACGGATTTTGACCCCACCAAAATTCACACTGATTTTGCTCATCGGAGCTGGGGAAAACACAGCTCCGTTCTCCGCGCAAATTCAGCCTGCCTGGCCAAGGTTTATTTCGTTACCTCATTTAACAACACAGAAGGAACTTGGAGTATGGACATTCAGCTTTGAAAATAAACCACGAGATTTTCTAAGAGGGGAAGGCAAGCAGTGTCCACCTCCCCATTCTTCTAAGTGGAAAATACACACAGACATATATTTATTTAGTTTATTTTACAATCAATTCAGTGAAACAGGCTGCTTCAAGCTGTGACGGTATGATATGTGGCCTGAAGGGCAAATATGATTCAAAACTGGGCTTTAAAAATTGGATTTTGACTGCTAATTAATATAGCGCATTACAGAATAGAGAACCCTAATTACATTCTACTGTAAGACCTCTGTGGCAAGGGCTATTTCAGACACATCTCCCAACAATATTTAGCATGTCAGGACACAGCTTCTGCTGCTGCTAGAGTAACAAGTAACATATTAAAATATTAAATTTTATGGTAGAATTACGTTAAAATATTTTAACATAAAAAATGTCAAAAATCCTGTGTACATTTGAACCGAAGTGATCCAAGTCTTAACAAATGTTGCTGTGATGAGTGTCATGCTTTTTTTGCATCTAAGCTTTTCTGACAAGAAGCAAGGACAGAGGAATGAAGTGATAACAACAACGCAGTGTCCCAGAACAAAAACCATGGTGGCCTCCCGGCAACGGCTTTCGCAAAGCAGCAGAACTCAGGTTTCTGCGCACTAGGATGCACTGCTCGCCCCTCTCTCCTAGGGAGATGGGTTCCAGGGACCTGGACGTGCGTGTGTGTGTGCTCGCACACATGTGTGTGCCCAGGAGTTTTTGGAGAGGCTGAGGAGGCCCCTGGTGACCCTCACCCTGCCCGACGCTCCCACCCCGCTCAGGTGAGTGTCGCCATCGGGAGCAGGGACTGCGGAGCTGCTCCGCTCTGGCACCTCAGGGCACGTCTGGCACCAGAGAGGCCACCCGCAGGCCCATGCCACAGAGTCCTGCTGACCCATGGTCCCAGCTCCACCCCAGTGGGGACACCTCCAGCGGGGCTCCAGGGTGAGAAGGTGCAGCTAGGCCTGATGGGGCCCCTCTGCGTCGCCCCGTTATTGACATTAAGCCCTGCGCAAAAGGAAGGGAATTGGCTGCGGTATTTCTCTTGGGCAGTTCTAGGGACCTCTCGACTTTGCTTTCACGAGAAAAAGGTGATTTACTTAGAAACAAGACACCTGCTGTTATAATGGATTATGTGTCAATAACTCTTTAACACAACCTTAAAGGAGATCCATGAACTCCCACAGAGAAATCAGTCTTGTAATCATTGACAGAAGTTCAATCTGAGAAATTTTCTCAGGGCA